CCTGGGCAGCGAGACCTCATCTCTACAATAAATCAAAAAACCAGCCAGGCGTGGTAGCGCCTGCCTGTAATTCTGGCTACTCGGCAGGCTGAGGCGGAAGAATCGCCGGAGCGCAGGCAGGTCGAGGCTGCGGTGGCCGGGAGCGGCCACTGCACTCCAGTCTGGGGACAGAGTGAGACTCCAACTCAAAAAAAAAAAGAAAGAACCAAGACGGAAGGGCTTCCTCACCATTAAGATGAGGAGACAGGGGATCCTCCATGCCTCTGTCTAGCACTCTGGTCTTGCCTAGGGGCCGTTCTTTCCCCTGGTGTCAGCCCACATGAATTGGATGGAGTGAAAACTACTCCACACTTCAGGGGTGAGGAGGACACGCAGCCTGCGACAATCGACCTGCTGCCCTGTGACTGGTTTAGGGGTGGTCCTGTCACTCAGCCAGAGCCAGTGACACTCGATTCAGTGACATCTGTGGAATTCTTGGGAACAGAAACTCCAACCTGGAGTCACAGACAGAAGAAAACAGAGCCCTGGGCTGAGGGCGGCCGTATGGCCATCCCCCATCTGGGGAGAGTGGCTGAGAACGGAGCCCACAGACAGGAAAACCATCAGGGCTGGAGGGAACGAGGCCTGGATTCAGCTGAGCCTGAAGCCAGAGGAACCTGGGAATTTGTTACTTAGTCAAATTCTATGTCTGTCTCTTTCTCTCTTTCTCTCTCTCTCTCTCCCCCACCCCTCAGCCTCCGAAAGAGGGTCCCATTTTCTCAGTGCAGACGGCCCAGCAGTCACAGACCTGCACACATACTGCATTAAATCAACTCACAGGGCAGGAACTGGCCAAGAATTCCCACGTGTCACTGGTATGGACAGTCGGGGCACACAGGTAACGCTCTAACTATCTCTGTCCCCACTGTCCCACCGGCTTTGCAACCCACACCCCCTGCTCTCACAAAGCTTCTGCTGGGTTTCGGGGGAAAGCCCCAAGGCCTCTTCTGTAAGGAAGCCTTGGGTAGAAGAACTGGAAGGCCCAGAGCCAGGAAGACCCTCTCGGGGGGCATGATAAGGCTACAACACTACAAGCACAAGGATGGCCTGTGAAGAGTTTAAAACACGGGTTCAGGCCAGGTGCGGTGGCTCAAGCATGTAATCCTAGGACTTTGGGAGGCAGAGGCAAAAGGACTGCCTGAGCCCAGGGGTTTGAGACCAACCTAGGCCACTTGGCAAGACCTCATCTCTAAAATAAATCGAAAAATTAGCTGGGCGTAGTGGTGCGTGCCTGTAATTCCAGCTACTTGGAAGGCTGAGGCGGAAGGATTGCCTGAACCCAGCAAGTAGAGGCTGCTGTAGCCGTGAGCGTGCCACTGCACTCCAGTCTGGGCGACAGAGTGAGACTCTGACTCAAAAAAAAAAAAAAATAGCCAGGTACAGTGGCTCACGCCTGTAATCCCAGCACTTTGGGAGGACAAGGCGAGAGGCTTGCCTGAGCCCACGGGTTTGAGACCAGCCTGGGCAACTTGGTGAGACCTCATTTCTACAATAAATTTTAAAAATTGCTGGGCATGATGGCATGTGCCTGTAGTTCCAGCTACTTGGAAGGCAGAGGCGGAAGGCCCGCCAGAGTCCAGCAGGTCGAGGCTGCAGTGGCCATGAGTGTGCCACTGCACTTCAGCCTGGGCGGCAGAGCGAGACTCCAACTAAAAATAAATACATAAATAAATAATTTAAAAAGGACTGGGCGCAGTGACTCATGCCTATAATCTCAGCACTTTGGGAAGCCAAAGTGAGAGGAATGCCTGAGTCAATGGGTTTGAGACCAGCCTGGGCAACTTGGCGAGACCTCATCCCTATAGTAAACCAAAAAATCAGCCAGGCATGGTGGTGCGTTCCTGTAGTTTCAGCTACTTGGAAGGCTGAGGCAGAAGGATTGCCTGAGCCCAGCATATTTGAGGCGTGGTGGCCAGGAGCACGCCACTGCACTCCAGCCTGGGCGAGAGAGTCAGACTCCAACTCAAAAAATATAAAATAAAAAATAAAATAAAACACGGGTCCCGGGGACAGACTGCCTGGGTTCAAACCCTGGCTCTGCTTCTTAGCTGAAGATGGGAATGACAATGGCTCCCTTCCCTTGTGTGGGAGGCTCCAACATTATCACCTACGGGAACAGTGCCTGGCACAAAGCCGGGTCTCAGGATAGGTCAGCCATCTAACTGAACCAGAGGGTTTAAGCCTTCATCTGAAGGGCTTTGGGGCCCTTGAACCTCCTGAAACTGTACCAAAGTTTTACATATTCCCCCCTCCCAGGGAAAGGGCCTGTAAACTTTCATCATAATCACAAAGGGATCTGTCGATGCCTAGAACCACTGACGTGGCTTAAAGTCTGGTGGAAGTTGGACATGGTGGCTCAGCCTGTAATCCCAGCACTTTGGGAGGCTGAGGCAAGTGGATTGCCTGAGCCTGCAGGTTTGAGACCAGCCTCGGCAACTTGATGAGACCTCGTCTCTACAGTAAAATAAAAAATTAGCTGGACGTGGTAACACATGCCTATAGTTCTGGCTACTTAAAAGGCTAAGGCAGAAGGATAACCAGAGCCCAGCAGGTCAATGCTGGGGTGGCCGTAAGTGTGCCACTGCACTCCAGCCTGGGCAACAGAGTGAGATTCCAACTCAAAAAAAAAAGTCTGGTGGAGTGTGGAGACTAGTCACAGCCAGGGCCTGACTGCAAGTATTATGCACCAGCCAATGCTTATGGGTAGATGGAGGGCTAAAGCCTGAATCATCAGAGAAATGCAGATGGGCGGACCCGGGGCCATCCCAGGCATCTCAGAGCAGGCGTCCCAAGCCTTTACGATGCGTAGGCCACCCCCATCTCCCTGGCCTGATCTCCTGTCCTCCAAGGCCCAGAGACACACCCACCCCACCCGCCACACAAGCAAGCTCCCGAGCATTGGCCATAGGCCCAAGCGCCGCCCTCCCCCCCCAACCTCTCTGCCCAGAGACCTCCAGGAGGAACTCAGCATTCAGGACGGGGGTGAACCCCAAGTAGGGGCCAGGCCACATGTGCTCCGGGGTTAAGCCCGTCTCAGCAGGATGTGGTTAGTGACAAGCCCGGCCCTGGGAGCCGGTGCCCAGGTGGAGGGATCCGAGGACACGAGAACGGCCAGGTCAGTCGTGTGTGGAATGGCCCACGTGCGTGGAATGGCCCACGTGCTGGAAGCGCATCACTTACAGTCGCTTGATGCCCGACTCCGGCTGGGGGGACGTCCTCGGGTGTACAATGGGTGGGGGCTGGGGTATTCGATTTTCCTCCTCCAATTCTTCACTGGAAGGAAATGAATGAGGGAAAAAGAGTCAACAATTCCGTGAGAACGAGAAGGTTCCAGAGACATCTGATGGTCTGAGGGGACCCACACCCCTACTTTTAGTTTATTCTTTGGAGTCCAGACAAATAGAATCACTCCCCATTTCCTTTCCTTACACGTTTTCTCGTCTCCATACCCTTGTGGTTTCTTTCACCCAAAATATGTCACCCACCCCTCAACACCTCCCACACCTAAATACTACCCTAACCTTTCAGGAAGGCCCAGTTCAAATGCCAACTCCTCCAGGAAGCCTTCCTGATTTTTACCCCATCTCCAAGCCAGCGCACAGTCTGTAACCCTTTCTCGTGGGGCACATACACAATGTGTGGTGCTATAGTTTCTGTGTATCTTTTTCATGTGTGTGTGAGTTGGAGTCTCACTCTGCTGCCCAGGCTGGAGTGCAGTAGCACACTCATGGCCACTGCAGCCTTGACCTGCTGGGCTCAGGCGATCCTTCCACCTCAGCCTTCCAAGTAGCTAGGACTACAGGCGTGCGCCACCATACCTGGCTAATTTTTTGATTTGTTGTAGAGATGAGGTCTCTCCAAGTTATCCAGGTTTGTCTTAAACCCGTGGGCTGAGGTAATTCTCTTACCTCGGCCTCCCAAAGTGCTAGGATTATAGGCATGAGCCACGGTGCCCAGTCTTCTGCGCATCTCTTATCTTCCCCACTGGTGCAGGGACCACGTCTGGTATATGTGTCCTTCCTTCCGACTTTCCATTCAACAGGCACCTACTGTGTGCTAACTGCCATTCTTTTTTTTTTTTTTGAGTCAGAGTCACACTGTCGCCCAAGCTGGAATACAGTGGCACGCTCATGGCCACCGCAGCCTCGACCTGCTGGGCTCAGGTGATCCTTCCACCTCAGTTTTCCAAGTAGCTGGAACTAGGCACAAGCCACCATGTCCAGCTAATTTTTTGATTTTGTTTTGTAGAGACAAGGTCTCACCATTTTGCCCAGGCTGGTCTTGAACCCTTGGTCTCAGGCGATCCTCTTGCCCAGCCAGTGCCATTCTAAATGCTAGGAACTTAGCCATGAACAAGACAGATAAGGCTTCCGTCCTCGGGCTGCTGACAGCTCTGCTCCATGTGGAAGCAGATAAGAAAACAGGCAGCCGGGCTCGGTGGCTCAGCCTGTAATCCCGTGCCTTTGGGAGGCTGCGGTGAGTGAATTGCCT